CCTGTTCAAGCAATCGAGACTTTTTCTATATTGACTGTATGACTGTATATTTCAACTGTAAGTACTTTCCTTAACATTGTACAACTAGTAATAGTAGACACTACAGCTGCCCCCGTTTTGTATATTGTCGGTCAATAGTAGGTTAGTAATAGTAGGTTGTGTAGCTCTTCGAAATATACCCATTCATAATGAAAATTTTCACACATATTCCATACAATGGGTGAGATAAATACAGGAAACGCAAGGTTCCATGCACAGTTTCAGGTCGATTTACACAGCTTTGATCAAAACATTCTCAGTTTCGAGAATAGTTTATTCTAAACCATAAGAAAAGATTTACTTAGAAGTTGGATTTTTCGCTATTTCTCTTTCCCTTTTTGCATTCAGTTCATTTTATTTGCCGGAAAGTAAGCCTTAGCGCATTCTAGTCTTATTTGAATCTTTATAACGAAAGGACATCTGTGAGCAGGGAATAAGACAGCACAGAATTTGATTGTCGGCGAATTTCTGTAAATGTCCATCAATCTGCTAGTGATAAGCTAGTCGTTATTCAATCGTCTTGCTTGTTTGGGGCTGAGTCTTATTCCGGTCAAAGAGAGAGAAAGAGTGTCTGGCAAGGTTTCCAGTATAAATCAGAGATTTGTGAACTCGTGTCTGGCAAACTCTCCAAGTGTTTATATATCTACACAGTTAAACGCACCTTATAACATCCCCTACGCTTAACGAGTCGCTTTTGGTCCATAACTTTCAAAACAACTGCTCCACAGAATGTCACTGCGTAACGCAAAAGAGTATCGAAGTATGACTGCACAATGAATGTCATAAAATCTACCTGAGCGGTCCCTTCGGGATTTTCTGTCTTTACGTCATCCTAACCATTTCGTCCTTGGGGGCGCAAACAATAGAAACGTCATCATTACCTACCGATTCCTCGCGGTCCCAGTTCGAGCAAATCGAGATTTTTCTAGTATACTGACTGTATATTTGAACTGTAAGTATTGTCCTTAATATACGCGCGAGTTACTAGGGTGCCTCCTCGGGATTTCCCCTCTGGGCGAAATCCATGCGGGGGCAAATATGACTACAGTTTTAAGATAATTTTAACAGAATTTTTTTTTCTGTCAGAGCTATAGGACACTTTATCGACTTTCGAATTATATACAGATGCCGTGGCATCAAAGGGGAACGGAGCGATATTTGGAAAGCACTGGGTTTTATGGCCCTTTTCCTATAGCATATGGCACTGCCTTTTAAAATAAAACTTTACTCGAGCCTTTTTATTACTCTCGCGCTTCATATTTGGGGGCCCACCATGGCAAATGGTTGCGTCTTGTTTTTCACTGACAATGCGGCCCTTGTAGATATTATAAACAAACGAACCTCAAAAACATTAACAGGTCATGATTCTTTCTATGTAACTTTGTACTCAGCTGCTAAATACTGGGGGGGGGATATATCAAATTTTTTTGAGCCAGCCGCGTCCCCGACTTAAAGAAGAGTCCTGCATCTCCCGTTTACAGATGGAGGGATTTAAGGAAATCTCGCCAGAAGAGGACAACTTTCTAACAGCAGTGCCAACGAACCTACAGCCGGAAAGTTGGTCACTCACTTGAGAGACTTGCTATTAGGCTCGGGCTATTTGGCTACTGCCTCTCGCAGCCCGTACCTTAAAGCGTGGCTGGGAACCAACCCTTCCATACCAAGATGGCCGCCTTTATCTCCAATCTCTCGGCCCATTCTACGATTGTGAGGCTGCGATGCCTTCTGTCCTCTCCTGTCGTAGCCTCCCACGCAGACTTTCTTAGGGGATTCGTCATAGAGTGACTTCAACGAGAGCCCCCGAAGTTACTTTTAGGGTATCGGTATAAATATGGCAATTATATTTAAGTTAATTGAGCGGCTAGGTCAGAGAACTGGTTCCCCGTTCTTTTCTCCTGGCTTGTTTTTTGTTTTGTTTTATTTTCTTTGTTTGTTTGTTTTTATTTTCACTGTCCTTTTTTTTTCTTTTTACTAGCTAAAAAGTTTGGTCTTTTAGTCTTACTTCATTTTATGACTCGTTCGCTTCACTTACAGTTTAAGTCAGAGATATCAAAATGTTTCCTAGCCTCTGCGGCTCGACCGGTAGGTCTTACTGATAATGATAACGACAAACTCCGCAATGTTTTGCTGTAGACTGATTCGTTTCCTTACAGGAGAGGGATGCCGTGACGCTCTTGGAATGGAAAACGGAAAGATTACTGACGACCAAATAACTGCTTCCTCAGAAAGGGAAGCCTATCCAGCCGTTAATGGAAGATTACATCATATCACTCCACAAGGAAGACCATTTGGTTGGCAACCTAAAAACAGTAGCTGCATTGAATGGCTGCAAGTTGATCTTCTTCTTGACAATAGCACAATAACAGGAGTGGCAACACAAGGATGTAGCAGTCGCACGTCAAAATCTGTTTTAAGTGTAACCAAATACGAACTAGAATTCAGCAATGATAGTAAAGCGTTTTATGCAGACCATCGGGTAAGCTTATTTCGTTTTTCTTATAATGAAAACCCGAAGCTTATATATTTGTCTTTAGAGTTAGTTCCACAAAGCTGAAAGACTTTTTGTCTAAACGTCTGAATTGGGGGGTGAAAGTGCCTCTTTAGGGGACAGAAAAGCTTGTATTTTATGTGATCAAGTAAATGGTTTTCCAGGGAGAATTTAGCATAACAAGAGAAAAGTATTACGTGTAAATTAAAGGATGGTTTCAAAGGAAAAGGTTTCAATTTAAAGTATTTAAATACTTTAGCAGAATTTCTCTCTCGATGAAATGTTTACAACTACAGTTTACTTGAAAGCAGGCTGTTTTGTGAACTCAACATTTCCTAAAAAGACGAATTTTCCCCAAAATGAAAGCAAATCTTTACGATAATTCTACATTTCAAGTAAACAGAACAAACTAGGGAACACTACAGAGAAACAACGCCTTGTTTCAAGCAACCGTGGCCGTTGTCTCCGCTTTTCTATAGCCGCCCTCTCCCCTCTCTGATTTTTTTTATGAGGGGAGGCTAATAGAACTCAGGCTTGAATAGCAAATTTATGCCTTTTTCAGATGTACCAATTGAAATCGTGAAACTGTGATAAATCCCCGCGAAATTAATGTAGCAAAAACGGCAACATAACCCTCAAAAAAAAAAAAACGTGGAAGTGTAATTATGGCACTGATCCTGAGGTAACAGTTGACTTTCTCTGTTGATATCAGTGTTGTTAATGTTTATTTCCGTACACTATGTTTCTATTTACTTTACCAAAGTACGTTAGAATAATTACTGGATGACACCGTAATACCTCTTTCATAAAACAGGGGAGAATAGTCATTACATGTGACGAATACTCTAAAATCCTGTTTTCCCTTAAATTAGTTATACGCAGGAAACACAGACGAGGACACAGTCGTATATCACACCTTGGATACACCAATAAAGGCTCGCTACGTTCGCTTCCAACCAAAATTTTGGGAAAATGAGATATGCATGAGAGTGGAACTCTATGGCAAAATCGCAAAAGGTACTTAAGTTATGTAACTGGCACTTTTTTCCTATAAACTATGCTTTTGGTCCCAAATTACTGTTTGAATCAGTTGACTTAAAAAAGATTTTAATTTACTTTTGGCTCACTATAAAACGTAATCAAATTAACATCACATAAATAATACTTACAGTTACTGTTTGTTATACTACTACATGAGAAATTTCTGCGATTTGATTGGCTTAGAGCAGTGGTATTTCAGCTGAATTTGAAATACCTTCATGTGAAAATTACAAACCTTTTGCGGGTAGTAGTATAAACAAATAATAGTACGATTTGTACGTGATATTTGGGATAAATACCACTCGTGATATTTCAAAATTGTCTCAAATTTCACTCGCCTAACAGCTTGTGAAATTGCGTATAACAATTTTGAAATATCACTTGTGGTATTTATGCCAAATATCACTACAAATCATGCTATTACCTATACTAATATCATCACATGTAAATTGTGCGTTTGGAAATTAAATGTCTGTTCAAGACATCTTTGAAAAGCGTAAATGAATTTATTATTTGACAAGTGTATCAAATGAGGCTCCGCTAGTCAATCAGGCCACCTGATGATCCCCTTCCTATCCAGTAAGACACTTCTTACTTACCCTACTCGGCGTGCGCTGATGAGCGCAGTTTCAACTCGATGAAAAGAATGAAGACTTCATTACCTAATACGATGACAGATGAGCGACGTTCGTCCTTGTCGATTTTACATATGCATTAACACAAAGATGTTTATTTTGATAACGTCGCTAAATTTGCGCAACAAAAGGGGAGGCACCAGAAAATGGTTTGATGCATGGCGAAATGACCGTAAACCTTGCTTTCTTATTAGCCTGTGTACACAGGGCTTTTTTTAAATATAGATGTCTTATTGTTTCATGTTCATTCAACTGTGCCATTCTTTCCCAAACTTGTGATTCCAGTCCATGTCTCAATGGAGGAACCTGTTTTGAAGACGAAAGCGGAAAAGAGTACATCTGTAAATGCAGTAGTGGATGGAAAGGAGACAATTGCGAAAAAAATATGACATGTAGCCACTGATATAAAGAAACATTCTCATTATATATTTGTGGCTTGTAAGAAATCTCATGCATGAGCGGTGAATTCCATATTTTGAAAAGGCGTAAGATAAATGTTATGAATGAACTATCGCGTTGCAACCCCTTATCATAGCTATATCAACTGTAAAAATAGCCCATTGTTTCTTGTTTATTTATTAATAACTGTGTATTATCAATCTTTAAAATTTCGAAGCTTGTGATTCCAGTCCATGTCTCAATGGAGGAATCTGCCATGAAGAGGAAAGTGGACAAGGGTACACCTGTAAATGCAGTTGTGGATGGACAGGAGACAATTGCGAAAACAAGACTTATACAGGTACCCCCTAAATTTAGAAACGTTCTTCATTATACATTTGTGGCTTATGCTTATTCAACTGTGCCATTCTTTCCCAAGCTTGTGATTCCAGTCCATGTCTCAATGGAGGAACCTGTTTTGAAGACGAAAGCGGCGAAGAGTACATCTGTAAATGCAGTAGTGGATGGAAAGGAGACAATTGCGAAAATAATACTTATACAGGTACCCCCTAACTTTAGAAACGTTCTTTATCATGCATTTGTGGTTTATGTTCATTCAACTGTGCCATTCTTTCTCAAACTTGTGATTCCAGTCCATGTCTCACCTTGAAATTTCAAGACACGAACCGGTCAAAAATCCGCGCTACAACATTCACTGTTTTGATGTTATGCTAATTTTTCCAAATTAATGCAGACCGTACATATATCCATGACTAGTACATTTCAGTGTGAGTATTGTCAATGTTTTACATTCAAAAGATTTGATAAATTCAGACTAAAATGTACTAGTCATGGAGGTATGTATAGTGCGCATTATTTTGGAAACATTTCCATAACGTCAAAACAGTGAATGTTGTAACGCAGATTTTTGACCGGTAAGTAGGATAGGTTTATCTTGAAATTTCAAGGTGTTGCAGTGAATCAATCTTAATGAAAGTTTCAGACATGATATCATATGACGAATTACTCCGTAATTTTGGCGCGAAATTTCAACGTTAATTTGTAATTTCACATGTGAAATTACTAAATTGCCAAGGCAACCTGCCGTACGTCTCCGTTTCAAGATGGCGAGAAAGTTTTAAAATGTCATGAATGAAGATGTCAGGGCATAAAAAGACACACGAAAGAGCACATCAAGAAGGATTCTTAGAGGTATTTGGTCGAAAAATTCTGAAAACTTAAGCCAAATTTTAGCTCTAAACGTTTGAGAGAGTGGAGTTCACGATCGATCGATGCGATCCAGGATAAACAAGTCAAAAATCCTCGATTGCTAATGTAATTCGTCACCCATGAAAATAATAGGTAATCAAATGGCATACTCGTGAAATTAGGGAATAATTTCTCTTGCGTTTTGTCCAAATCCTTATAATTTCCCGAGCCTTTCCCTAATTTCACTCGGCACCATTTGATTACACATACTTATTATATACATTGTGAAGATTATGTGAAGAGATTTTAAAAAAAATTCGTTCGAGTAGTTTCAGAGATATATAAAAAAAGCGCTAAAAGTCCAAATTTTGAATGAAGTTGCACTTATACAAGTAGTGAGAAAACGGCTTAGCTTTTAAGATCGCAAGAACGAAAATACACCAAAATTTCCAAGCATCAAAATATGATATTAAGCAGCATTCTGACGCTATACTTATTAAGAATAATTTGAGTCATTTATAACGTTTTTATTAAATAATCCATCACGGCCATTGAACATTTAAGGTTTTAAATTATATTTTCGTTTTAGTCGAATTCAAACCTACAGAATTTTTTACCTCTTACGGAGATAGTTTGCTAAATACTAAACTTTTTAGTTCCTAGTGTTAGATTTTCACTAGCTGGTCTAGATCACACAATACAATACAATACAATACAATAAGAGTTTATTGTGAAAATACACTTAGCTACAATAATGGTGTACTTTCACAGACGGGACCGAAATCGGGGTCTGTGAAAGCACGCCAGCTAATTTAGAGGTATTCCACAAACACAATAAAATTAAGAGTTAAAAAACTAGATATGGAATATTCTATAATTAAAATTATATCAATAAAATCTTAATAAGTATATCTTATATCTAAATAAATACTAAATTCAATAAAAAAGCGTCGAAATTATAAAAATTGCACTAGGTCAACTTGGCTAATGGATCGCTTAAAAGACTTAAAATTTGTTATATTTCTAAACATGTTCGGAATTGAATTCCAGATCCAGGATTTTTCTTAGGAGGGGGTGCACCACTAACTGACCGATGACGTAAAAAATTTTAAAAGCGAATACGAAGAAGAGGGCTTTTGACTAGGAAATAACATAATGTGAACTGCTAAGAATACATATCAAACGATAGAGCAGATTTTGTATGTCTGTCAAGCGACTGCACAGTGTTAATTAGAAAGCGGCCGCAGGTCATCCCAGGGGGGGTGCGCACCCCCTGCACCCTCCCCCTGGATCCGCCCCTGGATATAGTCACCTCTTAAATTGTAGCTAACGTTCTTCCTATGAACTATCAGATCTTGTATACTTTTGGGCGCTAAAGAATTGTGGACGGCATTAAAAACAGACAGTGTGATTTTAATTAATCTTTGTTGTTTTAAAGATGAGAGGCCTAATGCGTTGAGAAGTTTCGAGTAGCTTGTGTACTTATCCCTGAAAACAAACCTGATCGCGCGCTCATTTAACCTTTCCAATTTGTCTGCAGCACTTTTACTACAAAAATTCCAGGTTTCACTGCAATAATTGAAGTGAGGAAGGATAAATGCTAAATATAGGTCGCGCCTTGTTTCGAAGGGAAGCATTTTCTTCATTCTTTTAAGAACAGCTATTTGCTGTGAAACTTTCCTACATATTTTAGCAACATGATTGGCAAACTTCAGTTTGTTATCTATCGTTATGCCAAGCATCTCAAATTCTTTAGTCACTGGGATACTGGAATTTTCACACTTGAAATCAAGTGTGGCGTCAGATTTTCCCATCACAATAGCTTGATACTTAGAACTTTTACCAGTTTCAAAGTTTTTTGTTTATTGTTGTCATAGTAATATTGATTTTACTTAACACTACATTTTCACAAATTTCAATCCATAGGCAATTACTGGTGAAAATTTTATAGCGATCGGACAAGGAAAAAACGACTTTTAAGGCGATTGAAAAATATCGGTATGGCCTCTGAAAAACTGTATCGAAACACCTTACACGCGGTCGGAATTTAGTAAAAAGTTGAATTTGCTAATCAGTGGTACGCTCACAATTATTAAGCTCACCAGCACGAAGGTATCGAGCTAACCCGTTTCAAGGACGACCCGCAACAGAAGTAAGTAAAGCATGATTGTGAAATTAGGGTTTCGAATTGAGACATTTTCCAGTGAAATTATTGTGCTAGAAATTGTAAACAAGCTAAGTTGCGTAATCTTAAATTGTATTGCTCTGTTTCAGATCGAATAATCAAATCAAATCAAATCTAGTCCAATCCAATCCAATCCAGTCTACTTCAATTCTAGTTTAATAAACAAACGATTATACGATAGATGGTGGTCGTTGGAGTTTGGCTCATGATTTAGTCCCGGGATTTAATAATAATAATAATAATAATAATAATAATAATAATAATAATAATAATAATAATAATAATAGACACTTATATAGCGCGGTATCCACTAATTGCTCAAAGCGCTGTCCAATAATATGGTAAGAAACTAGAGTTAAAAACTATTATAAGATAACATTAAATTAAATGAAGCTACTAAAATCAGACATCGTAGGCTAAGTTAAATAAGTATGTCTTCAACTGCGACCTGAACTGGTCGACAGATGTAACACCCCTGAGTTCCGAGGCAATTGGTTCCATAACCTACGAGCAGCTGCGGAAAAAGCCCTATTTAGTTCATGTCTACGTGAAACAACCCATTCCTTACATTCTTGTCCTAGAACTAACCTAGCGCTTAATGACAATTTTTCAGGGCCTTGTGAAATTCAAAGTCCATTTGTCAAGGTACACATAATTATTCATTTTTATAGTTTTATGTGTACTTACATTAAGTAATCTTCATCAATCTTCTAGAGTGGCTCTGAGGGGTGGCGTTGGGGGGAGGGGCTGAAGTTATTGAAATTTATCATGTTTGTCGACACTTCACATCACCCTTGAATTGTCATTGGTCTTTCAATATACTGTTAGGTCAAAACATCTCTTTGCTTTCCTCCTGATGTCCTGAGTGTAATTCATTGAAAACAAAACGCCACTGCGAAATTTACAGGACTATATGCCTGCTGATTTAAATGTTATGTTTCCGTTGTAACCACAAAGTTGTATTAGGAGTTGCTAGAGTCTCCAGATTACAGCTAATACAATCAACCTATGGAAAATCTCTAGACCCCTGCTAAACTGAAAAGTGTTATGTGTTGCCGAGGTACCTTCACTCAGAACCTCATTTGTAAAATAAGCTTTGCATGATTAAGACAATTTTTTCCCGACTTAGGGCTGTTACTCAGGCTGGATGCTGGTTGCTCGGTTCTCCAATAACGACGGCAAAAATTGGATGGCTGACAGTGGTGATTGGTGGTATGACCGACGTTTTGCTTCTGGTGCAACAACTGATCCGTCAGTTAACGCTGACATGATCTCACCAGCATTTTGGCTGCTGAAAGGCAGAGAGTTTAAAATCACGCGCAGTGATGACTCCAGTCACACGCCACTGTTGCAGACCACAGGGAACTGTTTGGGTGAAAAGACATTCCGATCAAAAATCACAAGTTATGGCGACTTTAGAAATGGTAAGGTGTGGTCCAGTGACAGGTGCCTGGGAAACTGCACGGTTCAATATGGCGGTCAGTACAAGACAACAGACGGGTTTCAACAGGCAGAGTGTAGTAGCATTATCCAAAGTAGCAATGAGATCGGCTTCTGGTGTGACTGGAGCAGCGGTGATGGATCAGTGATGATGATTGGTGGAGGAGGAAGTAGCTGTTCCCGTGCTGATCACGGGATTGGAATAACAGAACAAGATGCGGCCTCTTTTGTAGAAAAGAGCAGTTCTGAAACTGAATATGACTTTGGTAATAACGCGGAGCGAGCCCAGCCATCGCGATCCTACTCATTAAACTTATGGATTCGTTGACCGACAGTTATCCTTACTCACCCCTCTTTGTAAAGTGGGCTACGTCCATGAGTAGAACGTATTTAATCATTTTGTTATGAGGTAGTTGCCTTTAGTTTTGTTTTTCAGTTTTGCTATTTTTTAAGATTTTGCTAGCTTCGTGATAAACAGTTTATAGACTTTTATAGACTTAGAGACTTAGAGATTCAGTGTATTTCCCCACATGGTTAGTTCCTGAGTTTTTGTTTAGTATTATCCATTTGAAGTGTTTGTTAAGCTTAGTTTTGGTTCTTTGAAGTAGGCTTGTTTGGGGAGTACAGTTGACCTTGAGTTTTACCCACAATCGAGTTCCTATTTTGTATGTTTTGTCCTTCTGGGCAGTTTCACTGTTAGCATTTAACTGGTT